TAAATAGTTAATTTGATACGAATATCAATATATTTTTGTTATGCATAAAATACTGTATATTGATGCATATTACTTAAAATTCAAGATTATAAGTAATTATGAATAAGTACAACTTATTAAAACTCGATATTTGAATTCGTATAAATAACTGCGGATAAACATAATTAAATAGAGGATGAACATCTCATTTTAAAATATTAAAAATCTAATATATAATTAGAATAATTATCGAGTTCCAACAAAATAAATAATTATTATCTTTATAAAATTTTTTATTATTGAACCAAATATAAATTACTTCGTTATTGTACATAAATTAAATTATAAAAAAATTGGATTAAAAAATTACAAAAAAATGAGGAATTTCAAATAGTTAATTTGTTACTAATATCGATATATYTTTGTCAAATTTTTATGATATCGTCAAACATATATTTTATTCAAAAATAAAAACATCATCGCTTTCTCAAAATAACATAAATCCATATTATAACATCAACTGAGATAAAGAATAAAATGAAATATTAAAAACACGATGTATCTCGCTGCATTGCGCGAGTACGCTTCTAGTTATTTAATATGCATATCTATATTAATAATATGTTGTAAATCATTTGACAAAAAAATTTAAAAGTAAATTTTTATGTATTAAATCTTGTTTATTGATGTAAATTATTTAAAATTTAAGATTACAAATAATTTTACAAAAATACAATTTATTAAAGCTATATTTTTAAATTCGTGTAAGTAACTATGGATACACATAATCAAATATATGATAAACATCCATTTTAAATATAAAAAATATAAAATATAATTAAGATAATCATTGAGTTCTAACAGAATGTTTAATTATTATATTTATAAAAAATTATATTGTTAGACCAAAAATAAATTACTTTGTTATTAAATCTAAATTAAATTATAATAAAAATTAAATTAAAGAAGTTACACCAAAAAAATGAGATCTATTAAATAGTTAATTTGGTATTAATATCGATTTATGTTTTTCAAAATTTTATGCTATTCAAATTTATATTTCATTCAAAAATAAAAACATTATCGTTTTCTCAAAACCACATAAAATTGTATTATATTGATAGAGACAAAGAACAAAAACTAAACAATTAAATCGAGATTTATCTCGTTGCATTGCACGAGTATGCTTCTAGTTATATTATAAAGCATTTGACAAAAACTTTTAAAAACGATTTTTTATGCACGAAGTACTGCTTATTGATGCATATTACTTAAAATTCAAGATTACAAGTAAATTGTACGTAAATACAACTTATCAAAGCTTCATGTTTGAATTCGTATAACTAACTGTAGATAAACATACAGTTGTAATAAGTTGTATTTATGCACAATTTTTATTTGTAATCTTGAATTTTAAGTAATATGCATCAATATACAATACTTCATGCATAAAAAAAATAGTTTTTAAGAATTTTTGTCAAATGTTTTATAATATAGCATCTATATATATATATACACTTTTCATGTATATTTTACATGAATTATATAGTATTTTTTTTTATTTTTTTTTATTAACCTGAATATCCAACCGTTATGCGAGCCGACTAATCTCAGGGTGACCATCTGCTTTGCAGATAGCTCGAAGTCATCGCAATTGAACATCTGTGGCCACAAGTGGATTTTTATTTCTTCTTGGATTTGAAACTGAGACATCCTGTATTTTTAACATTTGGAGTCAAGTTCAAACCAATTAGACACCACCTTTGTAGTTAATATCTTTTATTTATATTATTATTATAAATCGATTTTATTATCTTCATTTATATTTTATATAATATATATATAGATATATTTACTGTTATATTACAAATATATATTAGTATTAAAGTCTCATCATAATTATTTTAAAAATAGTTTAACTCAGAAATTAATTGGTATAGTTAATTAGTTATTTTAATGGATGAGATATTTATAAAACCATTTATATTGAATTTAAATAAGGAAAAAGTTCATAAAATTAAAGAAACTGTTCCATTTTGAATTATTAAGTTGTTAAACTTTTATTGGTTGAATAAGTTGTTGAATTTTTATTCGGTTGAACTATTAAGCCATTGCATTTTTTTAATGATTAAATTATTGAGTTTTTTAGAAAATTAGTTACTTAAATTATTTTAACCTAAAAACTACTTGTATTGTTATAGAATAGGGAGAATCAGAAGATTTTTTGATCATTTTTTTGGACCCTATTATTAATATCTCTCTTTTTTATTATCTTTTTTGTTATTTAACTTATATGTAAAAATATTTTATTTATTATTAATATTTATATTAACTGAAATA